GAAAGAATGGACCGAGAAGACTCCCCAGTGGTGGTGACCTGCAACATCTGTGCAATGTTTGTTTTCCTGCCTGAGGTCAGCATGGCCTACATGTGCAACAAGTGCAAGCTAATAGCCCTGTTTAGAAGAAAAGGTGAGAGCACTAGAGTAGCAAGTGTCCACCCTCAAGGTAATAAAAGAGGTTAAAGGGGGGTGTTTTGTTTTGTTTTTTTAGATCAAGGGGTGGAACTGCAAAAGCTAAGAGTAGTACAGACGGTAGAAGTGCAACAGCAAGCTGAGGCAGAAGAAGAGAATGCTGAGGGAAGGGGAAATGAGGAGGAAACTCCCTAGAAAAGGGTGGCAGGTACAGAAGAACTTGAAGACACTCTGTACCAGTGGAACTACAGAACTACTTTCAGTTACTCAGGGATGAGATTGGAGGGCAGCCTGCAGTGGAAGAACAACATGTCATCCCATGCAACACTGAACAAGAGGTTAAAGGTCAACCAAGTAGTGCAATCTTACCAAGGCTTACCAAAGAGAAGAGTGTTAGTTGTGGTAAACTCCCTGTTGCGTGGGATGGATACAAATGTGTGTCAGGAAGACCTGTGGACACATCAAGTGTGCTGTTTTCCTGAAGGACAGATTAGTGAGCACATATAGCCCACTGACATGTACCCCTTCCATCTTATACATGTGGGAACAAATGACACTGTCATGCAGAGCTTTGAATAAATCACATCAGACTTTGAAGCTATAGGGAAGAAAGTCAAAACATTTGGGCCCAGATAGTTTTCTCCTCAATCTTTCCAGTCTTTGGAAGAGGAATAGACAGGGAAAGAAAAATACTCCAAATGAATGACTGGCTATGAAGGTGGAGAGATATGGCTTGCGGGTCTACATTTCCTGAAAGAAGGACTGCTAGTAAGGGAGGGGTCGCACCTTAGAAGGACTGGAAAGAATGTGTTTGGCTACAGCATAACAACGTTTATCAAGAGGGCTTTAAACTGAATCCTATGGGGAGGAAGAAGTACACCTGGGCATAACAACAGACAAAGGCTTATTCACCACAACAGGGAGAGCAGCTCTAACAATAATAGTCTTCCAAAAACTGTAGGAAGAAAGCTAGATTATGCAGCATGTGGTCTTTGATGTTTATATACTAATGCCTGGAGTATGGGAAACCAGAATGAATATGCACTCTTAATCCAGGAGGGTGAATATGACCTGATAGATGTAACTGAAACTTGGTGGGATAACTCCCATGTCTGGAATTCAACAGTTGAAGTAGGCGCCAGGCGAAGACCTTTTTATTTAAGCGGCATTTTAAGTGTTAGTATTACTAGATTTTATCTGGCCATGGCGGCTTATTTTATATTGTATTTTGGTATTTTAATTTAATGTTTATATTTATTGTAATTTAAATTATAATTACTTTTAATTTATTGTTGTAAGCCGCCCCGAGGCTTCGGCGAATGGGGCAGCATAAAAATGTTTAAATAAATAAATAAATAAATAAAATAACCTGTTCAAGAGGAACAGAAGGAATGGAAAGGGAAGTGAAGTCACACTGTATGTTAAAGATACGTATCTCTGGACAGATATACAGGAAGATGTGCTTAGTAGTCCCATCTAGAGCATCTGAGTTGATATAAATGGAACAAGGAATAATGATTGGAATCTGTTACCAACCAGCCAGTCAAAGAGAAGATAAGGATGAAACTTTTGAAAAGCAAATTGCTAGTGTTTCAAGGAGGTATAATGTCATCATGAGTGACTTCAATTTCCCCAATATCTCTCAGGAGACAAATTCTGCCAGACATGGCCCCTCAAAGAAATTCCTAATACGCGTTCCTGATAGCTTTCTCCAAAAGAAAATGGAAGAAGGAACAAAAGGAACAGCTAACCCTGACTTGATTATATGCAATAGGAATGACTTACTGGACAAAGTGGCAGCTATGGAAACTGGGGGAAAATGACCATGCCATGCTTGAATTCTTGATTCTAAAGGAAACAAAAGCCAAATGTAGCCAAACATGTACCCTGGATTTGAAGACAGCCAATTTTAAGAAACTCAGAACAATGAGAAGTCCCATGGCAATAGTTGCCATGAAAATACATGCCACAACTCTGTAGCTGTCACAACTTATCTTTTTTGGTATGACAACAGCCCAATGCAGTCCATTTAGGAAGAGGATCCCAGAATTCCAAGACTGACCAGAAAGAGCAATCTACTTCAATTGGAAAATGCCAAAATCTAGTGCAAGTCAACAAGTAGGCCTGATAGTAAAAGGAAAGCCTGGGAAGGCCAAATACACCCTCTTTAATTGAAAGTTGTATCCTTTCAAGGCTATTTCTGGTGTAGTGGAACCTCTTAAGATATGAAATAAAACATTAAGTTTTTGGAAATACTTGCCAAGTATAAAGGAATACTGCATAAAGCATTAACAATTTGAGGCATTGCATTCATTTTAAGTTTATCTACCCTACTCTATAGACATGACTTGATATATGTCCATCTATCCATCTCTGGAGAGGCATTGATCAACCCACTTAGATTACGAATATGTTAATTATTCGTAATATATCACTTGACACAAGTATTCCCAGGAAAGTAATAAAGTACAAACTCTACATAACCAATTAATTAACAGTCTGTGAGTTATATTATTAGTTCTGATTGACCAGTTTCAACTGTGTTTAAGCTGAAGCTTCCAGAGCTCCACCCAATACTGGGCTGATGTTTCTGGAAAATGAAGGTCCTATGCAAAGGGAGCCCTGTATTAATATAAGGAACCTTCCTTTGCAAATTGGCACTCCTTTTCATATGTCTCTCTTGCCCTGCCTGTAAAAATGTTTCTGCCCCCCAGAATTAAGGGGTCACTCAGTCTCTCAGAAGCAGAGTTCACTTCCTCTAAAAAACAAAACAAAAAGGAGCATGTTTTATTGTGAATTTCAAAATCAAAACCAAAGCCCAAACAAAAGGAGAAAATAAAGTGAAAATTAAATATTTCACTTTTCTGAAAATGAGATTTAAGCAACTATTACAATCAATATATATAACTTGTACCCATATATGTTTATATATAGCAAGGTATACTACTCTTATTGGAGAGTGTTATGCATAGACTTCAGTACATTTGTCACTTCATAAATTGCATTTAAAAAAGAGCCATTCAAAAATTGAAAGTTTCATCAATCCTCCAGCTATTATTTCAGGTGGCCCTTTATCTTTCCAGTATTTTAGTATTAGCCTTTTAATGATCAAAACCATGCAGAAAATCAGTGTGCATTCACCTACATTATGTTCCAAGGGTCAAATAGATAATAAGAACATGCATATCCGTATATATTAAAGAACTTTGTATCACCATATTTGTCTGGATTATGCTTACTGGGGGCTGTTCATCCTCAATCAATACATCCATTAGTGAGGGGGTTTCTGAAGCTGTAACAGCAGCAGGACTGAGCCTAAATTCTAATAGATACTTCTATTGCATATATTGCCATTTGCTCATATTTAGCATGCAAAACTGAAAATGGCAAGGAGTTATCATCAAAACCAATAAACTGATCTGAAATGAGAATCAGCTGGTCTGTCCAAGTCCACCAAACAAATGTTTTCTTTAAGTCTGAATTTTCTTAATTTTACTTAATTTTGCATATGAAAATAAAGCAAGCTGCAATTGATGTGAGACTATACACCACACATATTTGTAGGAGGCACCTAATCTATTTTGGTATGCCAAGAAGCCAATGCAGTGCATTTAGGAAGAGGTTCCAATCAGCCAGGAGATGAACAAAATTTAATAGAAGCCAACAATCAGGGAAGCCAAATCTTTTTCAAGGATATTCATGGCAGAATGGGATCTCATAGGAATTTGCTTGCTTGAAAATGCTTGCTAGGTATAAGTAGAGGAATGTAGACAATTTTAGGTTTTACATAGTTATAAGTAATACATTCACTTTGAGTACATTTAATGTACCCTGTAGACTTAAAGATGGCTATGAACAATGTTCCATGATATCTCATTAATCAGCTTTCTTAAATTTAGCTAATCATTTCAGATATATCTCTAATGACAAGTTTTCTCGATTGTGTAATAACTTCTGGACAGAATCTGAATTGCCAGTTAACTAGTTTATTATTGCTATGGAGTTATCTTCATTTTTATGGAGATAACTATCTCCAGTTAACAATAGTTCAGGCTTTGACCAATTAACAGAATAGCTGGTCAAAGTCATTAATCATCTGCATTGAATGGCTGGATGATTGGTGTTCCAAGATAAACAATAGAAAAATAAGAGAGTAAATTTGAATGCTTACACAAATCTGTGTATATGAACATGTTGTCAGATAGAATGTGTTTAGGGTTCCCAACATAAATCTAGTATCAGTGAAGACAGTGGACATCCCTGTCTAGTAACTCTCTCAAGTAAGAATAAAAACAGACAAAAATTGGTTATGATACTAGCATTTGTGGTTGTTTTTCCAGTATTCATATTATATATTATTTATTTATTTATTTAAACATTTTTATGCCGCCCCATTCGCTGAAGCCTCGTGGCTTACAACAAATAAGTTAAATCATCATAACATTTTAAAATATATACATTAAAATAAATTACAAATATATAGCTTTCATAACTTCCTTGATACTTAAAGGTGCAAATGAAAAGTGAAAGCACATAAACAGGGAAGATTAACAAGAGAAATGAAAGTTCTATACCTTTCTCTGATATTTCACAACCTCTTCTATTCAGTTCTAAATATTTTTTTAATTGAGAATTTATGTCCTCAGGATGAGTATATGTCTTGGTACTATCATTTTTAATCACCAAAATACTATTTCAATACTTTTGTGGCTTGAGTTGATAGACCAAATTCTTACTGTGGCATTCTTGCAATATGTCTGCCTTTAAAAGGCTAAAGAAAATTCTGCCTTCTGTAAAATAATATTATTCAACTCCTATTTAACGTATGAGCGAACTGCAGTGGGAGAGGGGGAGTTAGCAAATATGGCTTCTCCAGCAGATCAAAATCCTCTACTGTCTGAAGGAGCCCTTCAATCAACAGGAATGCTCCTCTGGGTTTAAGGCATCCTTTATAACACTGTGTTTTGAATAATTGTTCCTAATAAGGTAACTCACTGGTCATGTGGATGTTTTGAAAATGAATCAATACTTCTAATTCTTTTTAATAATTTATATATATTGAATTAATTGCTGATAAAACTGAAACTGAGAATTTATGAGTTAAGCTATTAGTTTACTTAATGCACCAGGCAGAAAAAATAATAAAGGTCGCATGCATAACTTTCCCCTTTTTTGGTAGTATTACTTAGCTGCTTCTGTTTTTTTTCCTGCCAGGTGTTCATACTGAAGCAGTATCATCATGACAGAATCACAAGAACTGTCCAGGAGTACCTTGGACAATGAATGGAAGAGGACGAGAAAACAAAAAGAATGTGGCATCTAAAAAGAATTTAATACCTGGAAGTCTTGGCTGTGACACATCTGTAAAAATGGGACTTATTCTGTTGAAATACAAATTAACTTAGGTAGCCATCAAGCTTGGAGTCATGCTATTGAACTAGAAATAAATGTTCTTCTCTCTCCCTGGCCAGTAACAGAGCATTGATGGATAATAATTTTCCCAAGTTGGAAACATTTGTTCTTACCCCTTTAGGTTATCCTTATGACTCCATAAGGAATAAAACTTTTCATACTTAATACTGATCAGAATGGGCAACTGACTTGTCAGCAACAAAAATGGCAGAATTTATGGGCTGAGCCAGAGCTTCCCAATGCACTTTGTACACACTGGGAAATGTTGTACTGTATGGCCGCCTTCTGAAGGCCATGATGACATATAAAATCAGGATATCATCTTATTGTTGATATCTTTGAGGAGTCATAAGTAGAATCAGAAAAAATGAATGGAAGCAAGGAGTGTGATGGTGGGGACAAGGATGGAGGACTGTCGGCAGTACAAGTCCCAGTTGGTTGGCAACGGAGGGTGGATCAAAATGGTGTTCTGTATATTAGGTAAGTATTTTTCTTATTGTGCATTTTGGTATACTTGGAATTGTTGCATAGGGGATTCAGTATGTCCTGCCTTGATAGCTAAAGGTCTTACCGTCTAGCTCTTTTCGTCTTTGAAAACCTAGATAAAAGAGTTTCTGGACTTGGTAGAGAAAGAACATAAACCATTTAAAAGGAGTAGAGACACTATTTAATGAAAATATATTTGATCTGAATTTTTAGAACCCTTTTGATCCATATTTTTTCTGGATATTTCTTTCAGCTAAACAAGAACTCATCTCACGTTTCTTCCTCTCCCTGCTTCCCTCTTTTTTGCATCTGTGGAGTCTGGGATACTTAGAGACTGTTTCACATAGGAGGAAAACAATAATCCAATTCATGTGGTATAAAGTTCTTGTGATGGTAGCATATCAGTTAGGTAGTATTTGCGGGGCAGTTGGCACCTAATTGATCCAATATTCTGGTGTGTTCTGAAGCTGGTAAAATTCCTTCTCGGTTTTGGTGAAACAGGAAACAGTTGTTAATTAGAGGCAGAGTAGTTTAATTGCTTGCTTGAAGGGAGTAAAGGCTTAGGCTGTCTCAGCTTAGTAAATTCAAATATGAACCACCTGGGACATGGTATACATTAAAACAATACATAGATATATAATGCTACAAATATAGCATTATGACAATCTTATGGCTGACCCAGGTATGAGAGAGTAAATATTCTCATTGAAAAAAACAAAACAAAACCATATGTGTCCTGAAATGTTGCTTGCAAAAATTGTTGTGTCACTAGTCATACCCATAACCTGCAATCCCTTGCCAGGGAGGAGAATCCATGCATATTCCTCAAGCATGTTGCTGACCAGTTCTCTGCTATATTATACAATACTTTACAATCTTCACCATTTCTTTCAACTGAGCCATTGGAACACCAATTTAACAAATAAACAAACAGAATAATTTACATAAATTCATTATTTACAATTACTCTAGCCAAAACTGAACACATTGAAAGGAGCTGTAAGAAAGTATTGTTAGTTTCCTCCATTATATTTAAAGAGGTACTGGTTGCATCCAGCCTGAAAACAATTTTAACACCCAAATCCAGCAAGAGAATGTAATTCTGTAAGGAACCCTCTCTTCCAAACCAGGAATGAACCCAAAGCTCTAGAATGGTATCATTCTATAGTCCAGTGTGGCTCACTTCTAAGAGTAGCTTATATGCTGCTCTGGATCCTGGAGATATTTTAATAGCATAGAAAATCATTTAGAAAAACTTTAAAAAAAAGATTAAACACAACAACTTGCTGTTTAAACGGCCGATTACAATAGTGAAATTATTTGTTCTTATTATATGCTATCAAATTGTCTCTGACTTATAGGGATCCTACAAATTAATGCTCTCCACAATGTCCTGTCCTATTGTCTTCCTGTCTTCTCCACTGAGTCATGTCTTCTCATGATGTGCCTTAAGTACAGCAGCTTCAGTTGCATCATTTTTGCTTCCAGAGGAATTTCTGGGCTGATTTGATCTAGGATCCACTTGTTCATCTTTCTGTCAGTCCAAGATATTTCCAAAGCTCAGCTCCGGCACCATGTTTCGAACACATCAATTTTCTTCCTGTCAGTTTTCACCATTGTTCAGCTTTCACAGCTGTACATTGTGATTGAAAATATAAGAGTGTGGATGATCTTGGCTATGGCCTCCAGTAAAACATCTTTACATGTGGCAATTTTTCTAGTTCCTTCATTGCTGACTTCGAAGTCTCTGTCTTCCTATTTCTTGGCTGCAGTCTTCATCTGAGTTCAGGATTGAACCAAGGTATGCAAAATCTTTCACAATTTCAGTGTCTTCGTTATTAACAGTAAAGTTGTATAATTTTTCTGTACTCGTGATTTTTGATTTCTGGATGTTCTGCTGCAGTTCTGCTTTTGCACATTCTTCTTTCCAGTTACCTCAGGAGTTATTTCAGCTCATTGCCGCTTTATGCCAGTAAAATGGTATCATCTGCATACCTTGAATTATTAATGTATCTTCACCAATTTTCATACCTGCTCTAATCCTAATTCAGCTTTCCTTATGATACATGATGCATACAGTTTGATCAAATAAGGAGATGAAAATACACCTTCATCCTACTTTGCCTATAGAAAACCATTCTGTTTCTTCATATTCTAACAGTAGCTTCATCTCCACAATACAGGTTACGTCTCAGCTTGATCAAACAGTAAGGCATACCCATTTCTTTCAGGACCATCCATAGGTTCTAATGATGCACGTAGTCAAAGACAACGCTGTAGTCTGTAAGGCATAGATTGATCTTCTTCTGAAATCCTTTGGTGCATTCCAGATACCAACATATATTTTCAATATGATCTCAAGTGCCTCTTTTCAAACTGTCAGGCACTTGTCACTCCATTTATTCTTTGTTGCGACACCCTAAACATCATTTTGCTTGCAAGGGAAATTAGTGCAGTGGTCCCATGGTTGCTTTACTCTTTTGCCTCTCCTGTCTTGGGGACTGTTTTGTGTTCCATAGTTGCAGGCATATTCTTGTTAGGATTTGAACTGATTGAGTCTCTGCAGCTTGGAATAGTTCTATTGGTGCCATATCTACTCTGGGTGCTTTGTTCAATCACAGTATTTCAGAGCAGCTTTCTCCTTTCTAGTATTGCAGCTGCTTCCTCATAGGATTCCCCTTTCTTAGTCTTTTAACTTTGCCATAAACTTCTTTTGTATATTCTTCTTATCTTCCCTCTGTTTTCACCTGGTCAGATAGTTCCTCTGTTAGTCTTTCAGCATTTCTAATCTAGGTTGGAATTTCCCTTTCATTTCTTGGATCTTCTGGAAGAGGTCTCCTGTTTGTCCTGTTATGTTGTCTCTTTGTAGTAATAGTTATTTTTGACTTTATGTGATAGTTGCTGAAAAGTTGCATGCAGGATTCTGACCCTATTCCTGTAACCTTTTGTTTTGGCTTCTCCCCTAAACTTAGCAGCTATGTCTTTCTTTTATTATCCATCTAAGCTTTTCTTACTTTTTGCTACAGGTATTGTCTTTTTGCATTCCTCCCAAATAATGACTCTGGTTTCAGTCCTCAGTTCTCATTCTCAGCAATGAGTTCAGCAGTGCAATTCTGTTCATTATGTGGACTTTAAATATCTCAGGAATGTTATTTAAGGTGTATTTTGGCAGTGTGTTTTTATTAGGGGTTTTTTTCAGCTTTGATATTTTATTATAATAGTTAATGGTCTCTACTGCAGTCTCCTCCTGTTCTTGTTTCGGCTGTGAAAATACAGCCTCTCAATTTCTAATTTACTATTACATAGTCTATTTAATTTCTGTATTGGCCATCTGGTGATGCCCATGTATACAGTTACCCTAAGCACTTGCATAAAGCATGCATTTGCAATAAATAGATTGTTGGCTTCACAAAGGTCTGTGGGTTATTCTCCTGCTTCATTTATAGACTCTTAGGCCCAATTCTCCCACAGCATTGGTTTCTTCTAGGTTTTCTATTTTTACATTTCTGTCACCTATGATTATCAGCATACCTGGTTTTGGTATGTTATCAATATCCTCTTGAATGCCTGTGTAAAAGCTTTCAATTTCTTCTTTAGCATCTGTTATTGGAGTATAGATTTAAACTATGTTTATGTTGTTAGGTTTTCAAAGAATTCTGATTGATATGCTTTAGTTGGACTTAGTATTATAGCTCCTGGCTGCCTGTGCTTCTTGCCCAGGTGGTAAAACTACTCCATTTCTTCTGAGTTTGTCATTTCCAAAGTAGAATGCTTTGTATTTGACTGAAAATATCCCATTCTAGTGCATTTTAGGTTGCTCACACCAAGTACTGTGATGTCGAGTCATTCCATTTCTTGCATTATGGTGTCCAGTTTGCCTTGATTCATACTTTCTGTGTTCTGGTTGTATATGTTGTGAAGCACTGGACTTTCCTTTCAACTCTGCAGATGTCAAGAGTTGGACTTCCTTTTGGCTTTGATCCAGTAGTGACAACACTATTGGTACTTGTCCTTTGCACTTCCCTAGTAGCTTCTGACTTGGGAGTGTCATCTTTTGACACTATCTCTAGTTCCATTTTGGATTGTTTCCCCATAGAGTTTTCAAGGTAAGAAGTACTCAGAAGTGATTTACAATTGCCTTTTCCTGTTGAGTACTAATTAAAGTTAGATTGAGCATCACTGCCATTGTCTGTGAAAGATCCTGTGCCAGTGTTACCTTCAGCTATTGTTGCTTCCCAGGAGCTGTCCTTCAGGTGTTTCTCCACTCCATCACCATTCAAGATTTGTATTCTTTTCTGCTGTTATGACCATTTGTCCTGAAGAGGGTGGATGCATTTGGGTCTGGTATCTCAGTCTTGATGATTTTGCCTTGGGTGACCCTCCTAAGAGACCAGTCTAGAAAGAGAGGCTGAACTTCTGGTGTTATTGCTCTTGACTTTTCTGACACTCTCAAACCCCCTAAGCACCTTAAGATGTTCATCCAAGAGGACTGAAATTATATTATTGGTGAAAGATTGTAAAGTGGAGTTCTAAAAATGTTTTGTGTCTAGTAAGCAACATAACTGAGACCTGAATTTTTTGGAGAATACTCTTTGCCCCAGGGCAAAAAAACAATCTCAATTGGCTGTTAATAGATTTTAAAAAAATTCAATTATATTCTTGTGTCCAGATATCTTAATTTATCTGCTCCTCATACAGTCAGGGGAAAGGGCATGTAATCACATAGAGAACACATGTGAAACTATAGTTAGTGAATCTTATAAAATGTAACCATTTTCCCATCTGCTGGTTTAACTGAGAATTTATTCATTAAATCTCTCAACACAACTACATGCAAAGTGTCCTATAATTCTACTTTTTTGTGTCCATGCAAGCAATATGTAGCCAATACAAGAGTGTATAGTTAATAACCTACACCCCAGATTGTGCCAGTGTTATGAATTCTCTAAGTATATGATAATACAAATTACTGAACTCAAAGGTCCAGAATAAAC